GCTGTGTAGCTTTGTATTTTATACAGGACATGTAGGGTGTGAGTGCACAGCCAACCTTTCCAGCACTCTCCAAAAGTTCAGCATCAAGCAGTTTATATTATTTAACCCATTGAGGGCCAGAACGTTTAACTATAGACACATGAGCAGATGGCATGTAGTAAAACACTGACTACCGGAACACCGGAACACCACCGGAACACCGGAACACCACCATTTTGTTTGGGGTTAGGGGTTGGGGTTAGGGTTAGGATTGGGGGTTAGGGTTGGGGTTAGGGTTAGGTTTAAGGTTAGGGTTAGGGTGTGTATATATGTGTATGGAGGTATCTAGTGAACTTTTCAGTACACTATAATATCCATTACATAACGTTTACTATATTGGTGCGCGAAACATGGAATGATTTTTGACGTTACTCGATTTTTCTTATCCGAAGTTGCTTTTGGGTAAAGGTGCTGTAGTTTCATGGGTTATACTTCAGCTGTATCTGGCGGGGTATTAAAAGTATTAGGGTTAACGTGATTTTGGGCCAATGTTTTGGGCCTGTGCAAGGCCTGTGCATCTGTGCGTTTTGCCTGAAACTGAGCCTGAGCAAGTGGCTCTCTCCGCCGCAGAGGCTTTATAGTTTTCTTAGGATTTAATATTACGATGTGATACATTTCACTACACTTTACATGGCGGATCTTGGAACACGAGCGTATTATTAAAGCTTCTGCCACAGAATAGGAAGTTATACCAGAAGCGTAACTCTAGTCGTTTCCCTTATTGTTTGACGTCCACGAAAATTTTAACTCGCTCACGTCAGGCCACGCCATCCTGGCTAGTACAGCCGGAAGTTTTTATCAGGATTTGGTAGGTACAAAGTGCCGGTTGTACTAGCCAGGATGGCGTAATTGATGACGTGATTGATGACGAATCGCTTGTAAAAACGCGGACAAATGTTTGCTCGAGTTACGCTTCTGGTATAACTTCCTATTCTGTGCCTCTGCGGAGGAGAGAGAGCAAGTGGAAACACCGGAAGTGCAATCCAAAAATTTCGCGGGGAAAAATTGGAAAATCAACAAAATAATAATATAAATTCTTCAAAAGGTCAAAATTTTTTAAGATGTTTGGGGAGAAAGCGTTGGAACTTGTGAAAGAATTAAAGCGTTCTGGAGATGGCTCGCTTCCTCCTTACAACGAAGACTGTGTGCGACAAGTACTGGATGAAATGAAAGCATTATTTGAACAAAATCAGAAAGATGTCAGTGCTACAGTGGCAGGCGAGGGCGGTCGAATTGCTGGCGTTCAACTGAGACATGCGAGCCTCGAACGAAACAAACGCTGTCTTCTAGCTTATGTATACAACAGGATGGAAAAAATACGCGATATGCGGTGGGATTTTGGTAGTGTTTTGCCTGACGATGTTAAAAATAACTTAAACGAGCACGAATTGAGCTGGTTTGGCAGATATAATCGAAGTTTAGCCAAGTATATGAGATCTGTTGGAATAGACCTAACTCAGGATAGCAAACCGCCAAAGTCGCTGTATATTGAAGTGCGATGTTTGGTGGATTATGGCGAATTTGAAACCGAGGATGGGAATGTTGTTTTGTTGAAGAAAAACTCGCAGCATTTACTACATCGGGCAGATTGTGAACATTTAATAAGACAGGGTATATTGGAACATATTATTTGATGGAGTGGTACTGGGGAGGGGGGGGGGGGTGATAAACCTGACCCAGAAACAATATTAGTGAGGTTTGGATTTGACTTCCACTACTGCTACCTTTTACTCACTTAGTATGCATCTGATTGGATAATCTGGCAGATTGAACACATCTCATTGGTTAATTATGGTCCCTTATAGTAGTTGGAAGTCAAATTTTGTGTTCAATTCTACAAATTGTTTGATATGTTTGGCTTTTGATACTCAATGAAACAATTAATTAAAGGTGATCTACAGTCTGTATGTAAACAAAGCCTTTGTTTACATTTTTGTGTCCAAAATATTGAGCTTTATTCGACAACTATTTATATTTTCAAGCTTCTAGAGTATAATAAATGATCAAGAAACAACAATCAGGCTTTTCAAGAACTCAAAACATAGTTAAACTGTTTGTATCATAAAAAGTGGGCTCATTTGTGCACATGCGCAGATCGGACTGTAGATCACCTTTAAACATACTAGTCATTGAACATTTGAAAAATGATTTAAATCCTAATTAAAAACAAACCATGCGACCATAAAAATACATGTTTTGTCTTTTGACCTCTTCAATTCTTTCCACCCCTTCAGTTCCGATTCAGGAAGTCAAATTAGACCTTGCTATTTATCTGTTGTAGCCGTATCTGATTTGAGCACTGGATTTAAATGCTTTGCATTGATGTAGCCAGGATGTTTAGTCTAGGAGGTCAATAAAAATGCAAGGAGGGGCTGAAGCAATTTCTCCCTGCACTAGTTTGAATAAAGTTTGTTTATTATGTGCAAATGTATTTGGACTCCCATGCTGTCCATGCATAATATAGTACAATGAAGGTTTTAAATTGAGTTGGTAAAGTGCCATTTTAAGCATTTTAGAGGCTAATTTATCATATTTTATAACCATTTAACACATAACAACTCTACCTAATCATCAACCTTGTTCCCAAGCTGTTACCTCTTGTGGAAGAAAGACTGTGGTCGGAGCTGGTCACGTTGGTATGCTAAAATCCAGCAAATTTTTAATTGATGATGATGATGTTGATAAATATTTGATTATGATTTTTATAACTTGCATTTTGTTTTGCAGTTTTGATTTGATAGGAATCCAAGATAGTTAATTAGAAATCTGCTAGATTTTAGCAGATCATGTGACCAGCTCTAGTACCATGGTCTTTCTTCCACAAGAGGTAAGAGCCTGGGAACAAGGTTGCCTAATCATCTGCTTTGTCTCAAGGGTATTCAATGTACAGCTACTAAGTTTATTCTTTAGGACTATGAATCCTATGTTGATCGCTTGAAAATCTAATCCCTCTTTCTACTGGCATAAAATCAAAGATGTCATCATCTTCTACAAATGCAAATATAATGGACATGCTGATTGTACTTGTAAGAATTTTTCCAAGGGGTGTCCAATATTTTGCCAAGGGGGCCGACCTCTGGCTATAGCAATGATGCTCTGACCGGAACAGAACCATTCTACAGTAGATACACAGTACACACAGAAATAGTTGTAGACTAATTGAGTCATGCAACTTGGTTTTGAGTCAGACTTGAGTCTTGACTTTGATGTGCAAGAAATGAAGTCATTCAAGAAGTGAAGGCGTAATTATTAATTATTAGTGAAAATTAACTCTACAACTTGCAACATTTGTTGGTTAGAAAAGTACAACTACAAATCCAATACATACTGCCTTATTAGTATTCTTTATATAAAAAATACTAATGAGGACACGACAACAATAGATACTGCCTTATTAGTATTCTTTATATAAAGAATACTAATTAGGAGTGTTTTATCAGGTTTAAAGCCACTGCACGTGACATATTATGGTTGACATGATTTGTCAATAAACTTATGAATTATTAATGACTAATGAGTGTTTGAAATATATTTAATGAACCATTGAGAGGTACCTGTAAGTGAATATCAAATCTGAACCTCATAATTACCAGCCGAGCTTGTATGTCTTGTATCACAGACATTCTTATAGCAAAGGATATCGAGCCTTTAAAGGGGCCCTACAGTCATTTGTTAGCCGAATACATTGAAATGTCTTGTGTGCAGTCAGGCAAATTTTGGAAGGTGCCTAGTATTTAATTGAAAATTTATACAACCACACCCATATTTTCCCCCAGATCATTGCCTTCCCCCCCCTCCCCCCTCCTCCCACCCCCCTCCCAGTCTCAGCATTATTGGCCATTGAGGGACATAGGATGGGAGTTATGGCCTGAGATAATGGGTACCGGTACATTCAATCTGATTCAATGTATGTGCAAATATTATATTTGAATGTTTCACACCATTTTAAAAAATTGATAACTATTGAAGCTATACTGTACTTTGATAAATTTTTATACCTTCGTGAAATTTGACACTATTTATAAATTGATGCGTGTTGAATGTTGATTGATTTTCAGTAAGTGCGGTTCTACTGTTCAGCGCCATTGTGGCATATCAGGAGCGTTTCGTTGTCTTCTTCACCGGGCCGATATTGGGACCAATTTTTATCACATTAATCATGACTATCATTTCAAAACCGATGAATTTGGGCGTGCTAGGGTCCCTGTTACATTTTGGCGAGGTTCCAGACTTTCTAAGACAGCTATTGACTCAGAAGAACCTAGTCCATGCTTTCGCTGGGGCTTTGGTGAGTGCATGTGCAGTACATCGTTTAATAATTTTCTTTGTGGGATAGAGTTCGTTGGGTATATTAATAGTAGCTGCGGTGAATTAATTATGTTTTACAAAGGGTTATTTATTTTTTCGATTTTATATAGTCGTTTATGAAATTATTTGTTTTGGAATAGTGTATTGCTGTCAATTGCGCAATAATTGCATGTATGTTGCATCATGTCGTGATATGTTGATATTGCCCTCTGGATACTGCTATCATGCGATCACAGCATATATACCAATGAGTTGCATTGTGCCCTAATGTGCCCTACTTTATTATTTTACTTTGTCTAATATTCCAGATGATTTCATTTGTTGAGCGGAGAGTGCTGGGTGCCAGGGACTTTATAGCCAGTTTATAGCCACAGTTTGTAGTTTACCACTTTACCCCACTGGTTTACCCAATGAGTATTTTGTAGTTGTGCCCTGTGGGGTTGAAATGTGTGCATCTATTATTAAGAATTTTAGCAAACTTAAAATTTGTATGATATAGAAAAGAATAAGCCAGCTTACTAATCTGCATCTTTAGTAATTTATGGCTGATGGCTCATCACATTGTGATTTTGCATGTTGCACAAAGACATTTGGCACTGGCAGGCACATTTTCAAATAATTTGTGTGGTCACAGGCATGCAAAAAAAGTTAACGACTCCTGTCCTAATGTGCCGTACTCATTTTACTCTGCTTGATGCCAGAAAATTTTACTGACTATAAAAGTACATTCAGGAGGGTGAATGCCAATCGTAAGCGCATTGGCATAGAGATCGGAAGAGCGCAGTGCAAATATATTAGATCTAACCAGGATCAGTTCAACCCTCTGGCTGGTAGGAATCGAACTTGCAGCCCTGTGTTTCCGGTACAATACACACCAACTGAGCTGCAGACACAGAATAAGTCATAGAGAAGCCCAACTTCTTGGTTTTTCCAATGATTTTGGCATAACCATAATCGTCATTAAAATGCTGACGCCATGGTCTCAGTCAGTGCGCGTTTGGTGGATGTCCAGGGGGGGGGGAATGCCCCTCAAACACACACTGGTTGGGACCATGTCAGCATTTTGATGATGAATCATGGTGTGGCAGCGGTTACTAGAGTTGACCTTCTGTGTGTCATTATTCTGTGCTGCAGAGATCAGTTGTTGAGCTCTAACTACAAGTCCATGTATATATTCTAAGGTGATTCCAGTGTAAGGTGTATGGATGAATCAGGATTTTGGGCGTCTCACTTGATAGTCAGAGCTAATTGTTGAAGGGTTTTTAGATGGAGATTTCAAGTGTAAATCTTATACATTTATTACACGGCAAAAAATGCTCAGGTTGATGCAATACTGATGAAAACAGGATTGAACAATGTTTTGCTGCCCACATTGTTCATAGCTGTCAACAACATTGAACAATATTGTTACACCCGATTCAGGCTCAACAACATTGTTCAATATTGTTGACAAGTGTGAACAACGTGGGCAGCAAAACATTGTTCAGTCCTGTTGAGCAACGGGCTCGGCGTTTTTTGCCGTGTAGACCTAACAACTATCAGCCCTCTGGCAGGAATCAAACCTACGGCCCTGCGATTCCCGCCCCTTTTTATCGGAGCTGCAACTGTCCAACATTGTGCCATATGTGGACATAAACCAATTATCCATATTAAAGAGTCTGAGTCTCGCAAATTTACTTAGGAAGTAAATATCCACGTAATATCGTCTCTGTTATTTCATGCATTTCTCTTGTGTGAAGTGTAAGAGTGCGAAAAAGTGCACAATTTATAATTGTGATTAATGTTCATTTTAAATGCGGATTTAAACTATTTATTGACTGGTTCAACCCCCAAAAATGTTAGTAATTTAATGTTTAATTACAATTTACAAACCTGTCAAACCACCATGTTTAAATTAATTATCAATACGATTATTCGACATTAATCGATTGTTGACAATGATTAATTGATTAAAAAAATTAACCGATGAGAACAGCTCTAATTTTTATTGCTTCCATTCACATGTCACTTTCATTGCATCTATTTTAAAATCATTCTTCAAAATTTTTTCAGGGTGGTATAACTTCATTATCAGTCTTTTTCCCATTGGATACTGCCAGAACAAGACTGCAAGGTGATTTCTTTTTTACCAATATTGATACTAATTTTGCCAATTGAGCATGAATTCAATTGTGAAATGTTACCATTTGCCATATAACAAGTCATCTAGGTGCATCAGATATTGGCCATAAATTCAAAATATTGGTATCAATATTTTTGTCCCCAATATTATCAGTACTGTCTGTATTATAACATATTTATGCCATATTCTTTAAATTTAAAGTATATTTTGCATTCCACTTTGGTTGTAGCAGTGACCCGAATGTATCAAATAAGGCCTAAAAAATACCTGGGGTTCTGCTTCTCAACCGACCCTATTTTTTCCCGCCAACCCTATTATTTTTTCAACGCGATCGACTGTGCGACCATATTTTCTCCGGGTGGTTGCGGGCTGCTCATACAGCGTGCCAAAATGGCATCTGTTGTCGCACTAATTATTGAACCAAATTGCCTAAATTCGTCCATAGGAAGTACGCATCTCTAGTAATATTGATGTCGGGACTCTACTGCAAATCGCCCAGCAAAAAACCACCAAAACCATGAAAATGAAAAATATATTAAAAAAAAAATTATTTCCGACCTACCGACCCTAATTTTTTCACGATATGAAACCGGAACCACAAGTATTTTTTTTAGGCCTATTAATATAAATGTTATCAATGTGAGAAGGGTTTTAGAGAGGAGGGCTTATTAGAGAGGAGGACTTATCAGAGAGGAGGGCTTATTAGAAAGTTGGGCTTATTAGAGAGGAGGGCTTGTTAGAAAGGAGGGCTTATTTGAGCTTATTAGAGAGGAGGGCATATTAGAGAGGAGGGCATATTAGAAGTGAGGGCTTATTGGAGAGGGTGGCTTGTTAGAAAGGAGGGTTTATTAGAGAGGAGGGCTTATTAGAGAGGAGGTCTTATTAGAAAGGCGGGCTTATTAGAGAGGAGGGCCGTTTTGCTAAAATGGAGCATATTTTATGAAAGGGAAGGAGCTCATTTAACAGGTATTTTACATAAAATGTAATTGTTTTGCTTCTAGTTGATGACCAAAGGAAAGCTAAGACAACATGGAAGGTTATATATGAAATTTTCCAAGAGGAGGGTTTGTAAGTACCTTCAATAATGTCATTAACGCATTGAGTGCCAGCGCTCTGCCCTCAACGACTAAAATCATCTGGCGTTAGACAGATTAAAATAATAATGTAGGGCACAATGCAACCTAATGGGTTAACTAGACACATCCATGGTAGATAGCCTCATTACCCCATTGAGTGCCAGCACTCTTCCCTTGATGAGTAAAATCATCTGGCATTGGAGTAAAATACGGTAGTACTTAGGGATACAACTGCCTGAAAAATATACAAACAGCTCAATATGTACTTGGCTACCAGTCCTCGCAATTTCGACAAATCCTCGTTGGCAAAAAATTGCCATCGATATTTCCAAGTTCGGCGGCAATTCGTTTTGTTTCCAAATGACAATTTGAAGATGCATAAGCATAAGAACGTATTATATGTATTTACTTGTTGTTAATGTCTTTAATAGAGATTAAAACTGAATATTTTTTGCAGTATTTGTTTCACTTTACTGATGATAAGTGTTTGATATTCGAGAAAACCTCCTTTCCCTTTCACATACATTGAGACCAGCGATAATCAAATAGTCATCATGATTATAATAAATTGTTTACACTTAGAAGAATTAATCGAATTGAGAAGGAGTGACCACAAAAATTTGTTGGCTGCAAAAAATTGCCGTCAATAATTTCATCTTCGGCGGTAGTTTTAGACTTTTTAGGTAGTTGTATACCTATCAACACAAGGCTTTTAATTTTCGGTATAATATATTAATATGACCCTCTGCTCGAGTGATTCGGAAAAATATTATCCTCACTAGGGGCCTAAATTAAAAAGCCTGTAAAGGTTTCTGGTAGGTTCCTAGCCCAACATTATTATTAGAAATCTATCTTTATATAAAAAAAATTGTACATGGGGAAAAATTCATTAAAAAAAAAATTTCACTGAATCCCCCTCGCTCCAGGTCTACAAATGATAAATGCCTAATAGACACGCTACCAAATCAGCATTTTGTAGGTATAACACACTTCTGTATTAAATGCAGCATATCTGATACATCATCGTTGTGCTTTTGTAGGTTGTCGTTGTATCGTGGCCTGCTGCCTGTTCTCTCAAGTTTGTATTGTTCAAATTTCGTCTACTTTTATACATTTAATGGACTCAAGGCTGCGTACATCTCTAAAAATGCACCCGAAACTGTCATGGTGGATTTACTGTTTGGATTTCTTGCTGGTAAGAGCGAGCTTACAGCCGTTTTCAAAATAAGGTGATCGGTCCAGAAATAGTCGGAGTTTGCCTGCCAGTTTTATGACATACATGTACGAGCATCTATATACTTTCACGACTGACGTCTGACGGTAACCAACACCCCATCAACACCCTCATGTACAGCATGGACCATATATAGCACTTGCACGAGAAAAAATTATATCCACATTGCCAAATAAAAATAGTACGAAAATGGCAGACAAGTTTTGTCTGGAAAAGCATAGAAGCATGATATACAGGGTGTTGTCAAAAAATGTCAGCAGGATTTTGGGATCAGGATTAAGCATTTATTAGACCTAACCAGGAGCAGTTGCAAAAAAATGCAACTATATAGGCCCTCTGGCAGGAATCGAACCTGCGGCCCTGTGATTCCTGTCCAAATTAACGTGTATAAAATCATAGCCTATCGAAGGGAAGATGGCTGTGAAACTCATTAGAATAACAAATAAAAATACAATATGACTCATTATCTGTGTTGGTCAACGTTTATTCATAAATCTGGTCCTTCACCGTCACGTGTGAATTGTATTCTTGCCCAACTAACCAATAGCAATGTTTTAGGAAAGTCACCTATCCGTGACTCGAACAATAGGGAAATTGCTATTGGTGGATTTGGTAAAAGTACAATACACAGTGACACGTGACGGTGAAGGACCAGATTTATGAATAAACGTTGACCAACATAGATAATGAGTTATATTGTTATTCTAATGAGTTTCACAGCCATCTTCCCTTCGATAGGCTATGATAAAATTTACACTCGAAATTTACATCTAGTCATAAAATCCTGTAATTATTATGCATGTCCTTGTCATCTTTTAGGTGTGATAAACGTTATGATAACAACACCGTTATGGGTAGCTAATACGAGAATAAAACTGCAAGGTGTTAATCTCAAGTCAGAGGAAATGAATAAGAAAGTTCAGTACAAGTATACTGGATTAGTAGGTAAGGTGCATGAGGCAGAACATTCATTGGGTTGGAGTTTGCCCCCGGGCTACTGGTTTTTGTTCGCTTGGTGGTTTCTATAGACTCCCATGTCTATCCCACTTCCAAAAATTGACCACCTCCACACATAGTCTATCAGCAGATTGGTGGCAAAATTGTGCATTTGATGATAAAGGCACACAACTTGGCGTAATGTTAGATATACCATATCGTTAGAAGATTGCAAAAACCTATGTGAAGAACATTGAAGCGGGTAGTACGGTTTTCCAAGCCTATCTCGTGTTATTATATATAATGGTCAAAAACCCCCAAATTGGTACAAAAGGCCGCAAAATACTGGGGTTTTTTCTAGGTTTAACCTTATGTAACCTAAAATTGGTGTCGAAAATCGTAGCGACCGTTTAAATGCCCTATATATTTATAGGTTTTTTGCGAGCTTTCTAAGGATATAGGCGATATTTGCTAAAAGTGAACTTTGAAATTTCACTTTTTTATAAGTTAGTACTAAATAATATATATAATGTTCTATAACCGAGTATATTTTGTTCTTGTATGTAGACGCTGTTCAACAGATATTTCGTGAAGAAGGTTTCAGAGGATTATGGAGCGGTACAAGAGCATCACTAGTGCTGGCCACAAATCCTGCTATACAGTTCACTGTCTATGAAACTGTCAAGAGATATATGAGAGGCATTAATAAGGAGGTAAGATATATCTTGAACTACTTGAAGCAATCTCGTTCCCCGTGCCTGCGATCCTCGGGAAGGAACGTGAGACCTGGCTAAGATTGAACTATAATTGAACTACGCATTCCATTTCAACAGCCAATTAGATTCCTCCATGAAACGGATTATCCCAGAGCCTCACGTTCCTTCCCGAGGATCGCAGGCTCGGGGAACGAGATTGTACTTGAAGTAATTATTATGCTAGTGTCCATTCCATGCGACGAAACTTCAACAAAACAAGATCTCCAAATAAAACTTGTACTCGTGCAGGAGTCGGTTGTACAAAAGCTGGATAGTAATTTTTTCAAGCTTTCTTGAATGGATGATTTCAGCAATAGACTAAATTTTGATCTAGGCAAGTAGACCAAAATCCATCACCACAGCTAGAAAGAGCATGTTAAAATTTGTAAAATTGCAAACTTTTGGTTGCGAAATGTTGTAAAATGAGGAAAATATAGCCCTTCGGAATTTGCAAATTTTGTACTAATTTGTATTACGCACGGGAAAATGCACCACTTTGGGCCCAATGAATTGTGAATGTTCTGATATATTTCTCATCAGTCGTCATCTGGGCATTCATAACTTATCATCTTGTTTACATCCATCAGAACAAGATATCCGCAGCCAAAATCACAGCGAAAATTGCAAGTGTGAGGCCGAGACACACCGGACGCGATTCGACAACGCGACGCGATTTTTTAGTTTTTGAAAGTTAATAAAACAGCCAATAAGAGCAAATTTTGAAAGATATGTAGACCAAATAACTCAGAATGTTATAGCGCTTCTAAATATTTGGAAAATTTAAACTAGGTTCAAACTTATCGGTCAGTGAAAATCGGAAAATCGCGCTGCGTTGTCGAATCGCGCCCGGTGTGTCTGGGCCTTAAACGTGCCTTAAGGCCGTTTTCCACTAGGCGAATTTTTTCGCGCGAACAGATAAAAAGTAGGAAGCGATCCTACTTTTTCGCCGCGAATTTTTTCGCCGACCAATCACGTTGCCGGATTTCGGTTTTCGCTTTGCGTCGCGCGAAAAAATTCGCCTAGTGGAAAACGGCCTTTAAGTCGGTTTTCCACTAGCGAATTTTTTCGCGCGAAGCGACCTTTTTCCTTTGTCGATATCACTTATTACGTCAGCAAGACGTGGCAAAATGGATGCCGACAAAGGAAAAATTCGCTAGTGAAAAACCGGCTTAATGTATTTTTTAGGTAGTTGTATCTATCGCAATCCATGTGTAATCTTTCTCTATACTCTCATCCTCGTTGACGAGGGCTTATTAAGTGATCGTGTATGTATACTTTCTTTTAGCTTCCATCGTGGAAGTATTTTGTGATCGGTGCAATTGCAAAAACCGTGGCTACAATTCTTACGTATCCCTGTCAAGTTGCTCAGTGCAAACAACGGGTACGTTTTGAAAATGAACCTTTGAATATACGCATGTATATTTGAGTATGTTAAAATGGTCTTTTTTGCAGTCAGTGTTGTTTTGTATATTAAAATGCTCAGTGGTTCCCATAATTACCTAGCTGTAACGGGATTGGGTTATTTACATTGCACTTGGTTAAGTCTAGGTCTGGTGCACAGTTATTAGCCTTTCTCACGATGACGAATATCCGACATTTTTGGGTGGCATCTAATTCTTGTTAACCAATGCAGACAATTAAAACAATGCGCAAACACTGCAAAACAATTTTTCAAAATAAGCTAACCATTTACAAAGCAAATTTACCATCATTCGTCCAAAAAATTATAAAAAGTCGCTGTTATGTGGACTTATCTCGCAGACTTCGGCTGAAAAGCCACCCAACAAAAATGGCGGCGTGAGAAAGGCTAATTCTAAAACGTCCAATAAACTGAAAATTCCGAAACGTTTATAGCCCGCGTGCAGGCCCAAGGTATCAGTTCCCTTGGGCCTGCACGCGGGCTAAAACGTTTGTGACAACTTGATGTTACCATGGATAGTTTGGGGTTTTCTGGTCTCTATCACAAAATTATTTTGAAAAGTAAATTTTGGAAATTTGATGGCCTGTCCCAGGTTTTTTCACGCATGCAAAGAGCGCTCAATCTGTCAATCACAGTGAAATTAATATACCTCCATATGTAACTGGAACGCTATACCTTCAGATAAACTGCCTATCGTTTTATTGAGGCCAGATCTTACCTCCAGACACGCGTGTTGGAGCTAGCGTTCCAGTTATATTTATTTCAGTGTTCAATCATGAAATAGACGCGTGTTTCTGGAGGTCAGATTTGACTTCAGGTAAACGCGGGGGATTTTATTTGAAGGTAACATTCCAGTTATATACACTCATCACACCTTCATCGGGCCCAATTTTTAAACCTCTCTGCTAAATATCCAAGCTTACATTCATATATCTGTATATTTTCAGAGCGGCTACTGGAAAGATGAATCAAAGCGACCAAATTTTATAATAATTATTGCGCAGATACTAAGGTAAAGATTTTTTGTGTTGTGTAACTTGTGTTGGTGTTATGTACTCAGGTGAATATGATGTTTGTGATGTTACTCTGAGTGTATATCCACACCAGGCAAGCTTGAAAAATATGCCTGACCACGGTGGGAATATTTTTCAGGCATATTTCTCAAGCTTATCCAGTGTGGATATCGAACAGTGTGGGAATCCAAGCAAACTTTTCAGCTTGCCCGGTGTGGATGCACACTCAGAGTAACATCACAAACATGATATATAGAGGATATTACACGGCGGCGCGAAGATATGACTTTTATCTTCGAGTTGTGAAAACAATATTTTACGAACGAGCGCAGCGAGTAAGTAAAATATTGTTTTTAACACGAGAAGATAAAAGTCATATCTTCAAGCCACCATGTAATGTTCTGTTTATTATATAGTCCCAAGCAAAAAATTGTGAAATTTCACGCTCAAAATTGGAAAAAGTCATGTGATCGATATCTTCACTGGTGAAGTATCTTCACTGGTGAAGATATGGAAAATATCTCGCTGCGTATTTTTCAGTATCTCACTCTCTACTATATAATAGATGTATATATGTATCCTTTCTCCACGGTTTCAATGATTTCAGATTTTTAATGTATGCATGGAAGATATATCGAGAAACATTGCGATTTTCACTCTACTTTGTACTTTATTCTAGGCAAGGTGGTGTAAAAGGTCTGTACAAAGGGCTAGAAGCGAAGCTTACACAAACTGTGCTAACTGCGGCGTTTATGTTTTTAACATACGAAAAAATACTCACATTTACTTTCTCCCTACTCGGTGTCGAGAAACGGAAATGAGGGCAAATTGCGGGAGTGAAGTGACGCTGAAATTTAAGTGGAAACAGTACAGTGACCAGTATAAAACTGGAGTAATACCTTGGATAATAAGGAGCTTACGGCGCTTTCCATTAACACGGCCAGACCGGTCAAATTGTTGAATGGAACACAAAACATTTGGGCTTCGGACCTATCTGACCGAGAAATTTAGATAACATTAGAATAAGGTCCATTTTCGCTAGATATTTGAGAAACAAAGACCAGATCTTTCCATTGATACAAAAAAAAATAATTCAGATCTGACCGGTCAGGCCATTAAATGGAAAGCGCCTTTAATAAACAGGCGATGTTTTTGTCAACGCCAATGGGGGATAGCCTGCTCGCAGCCCCCCACCCGAAAATTTGAAACGGAAAATTACGGGCTTCGAGCAGGCTAAGGGGGGACTGGATTAAAAATGCTGTGTTTGTGTCAGTTGGTAATCTTCGACACATATGGCAAAACATAAGATTTTTATAGTTTTGCTTCCTCACACGAGCATACCGCTTTTCGAATGACGTCTATATTGACAAAAATGTCGCTTGCTTGACGCCCATTTCCACTCAGGAAATTTTCAGCAGAAAAAGAAAATTTTGTGAAATGTTATTGGCCAACACAAATTTTCCATCGGAAAAAAATTTTGACGTTGACAATTTTCAACTTTTAACAATTATATTTTCGGAAGATTTTCTGTCCGTGGAAAATTTTCTTGAGTGGAAATGGGCCTTTTAGCTTACTAATGTAATAATAATTAACAATTATTGAATGAGGTTGAGCACGATATGAAGAATTATCAAGCCCAAAGTTTGAGGTTTGAGTACTGAGGGCTTGATAATTCTTCATATTGTGCGAAAACCGAATTTAATAATTTTTTATTATTTATTTAAAAAATTCAAAACAAATATTTGTATTTTATTTGTATTAAGAAAAAAATAATTCCTTAATCCTTCGGCAGCCGTCGTCGTCGTCATATCAATAGACAGATTTAGATCGAGGACGCGGACGTCAAAGACGACGTGAAAATGGCGTGTTCATAGAGATGTACATAGAGATTATAAATAACACTAGAGGAGGCATCGAGTTTAAAAATTGGGAACGCAGCTAATGGGGGGCAAATTCAAGTCCCGGATATAAAATCGTGCTCTCATTGGCTGATTTGAAACTCGTCACCAATGGGAACACGAATACACATCCGGGACTTGAATTTGCCCCCCAATAGTCGCGTTCCATTTTTTTTTACTGAATTAAGATTACTATGCCTCCTCTAGTGTTATTTATAATCTCTATGCCCATATATGGATATGCCACGCCATTTTCACGTCGTCTTTGACGTCCGCGTCCTCGATCTAAATCTGTCTAATGGCGTCAGCGAGTCGATATGATTCTCGTCGTCATAGTAATATGGCGCAAATGCGTCCAATTTTTTTTCATATTGACTCTTTGACGTCATTTTGCTAAGCCCCCCAATATGAATGTGAAAAATCCATATTTGGTTAGCCATTGAGTTGATATGACAATTTCACAGTCGGCTGTTAGCCAATCAGAAACCAGGAATTTTTTAAATAAATAATAAATTTAAATTAGCTCTATAATCAAGCAAATGTCTTCTAATAAGTTACTATCAAAAGCAAAAGTTGCTTTAAGTTGCTAAAACCAGCAAAAAGTTGTTTGAAATGGGAAAGGTTGCCCAAAAGTCGCCGACTGGAATGAATTGTCATCTATATAAGGTTTAAGGTGATTCATCAGTAATTGTTCTGGAAATGAGAATTTGCTGAAACTTCCCAGGGGTGAAGTTTTTGATATGCTCAAAGTAAAACCAAAAAAAAAGGTGGCGTCACCGAACTCGTTTCGAAGATGTGACAAGTGTAATTTGTCACCTTTTTCTCCATATGGCGCCATCTTGACCCTTATACGATTTACAGGAACAATCGCAATTGCTCAATCGTTATTGAATATTTTTTAACAAGGATCCTACTAAAAATGTCTATGTAGTGATCATGTACCAGAAAACATGGTATTTTAGCGAATCAAAAACCATTGACGTGCATTTTCTATTATTTTCTGATACGACATGTAAAACATATAGAAGAACAAAAATAAAAAATAGGGTCCAGTGCCTTGTTAAAGAGATAAAGGGTTAAAAATGCAACATGATGTGGTTAAAATGTTAGTTGAACAGGAACACTAGCCAGAGTTCTGTCATTTTTGAAGGAATATTTCCAGAAGCACGCCTAATCAATGCAGAGTGTTTTTCTCTCTGCCCTTATACTCTTTCTTTAAACTGCAGTTCGACTACATATATCAGCTAAATTTGTCATTAGGTATGTGCAGTAAAGGTGCGCAATGCAAAACTGAAGAATCACCTTAATTATTGAAGAAGAATTTTTATCAGGTGCTGTTCGAGGATAATAATAGTAATGCAATATATTGAGAATATAATTTTATAAAAGATATTCAATTCTTGCACTGACTGGCTAAAAGCCTTTTTAAATTTTATGTGAACATGCAACGCTCTCACTCAATATTTTTATATCAATAAAATACAATAAAATCGTCTTTAAAAACAGCAAGATAATTTAGATTGGTTTTGCTTCAATCTATAAACCAGCTATAGACATGGGTGTAGAAGAGCAGGGCTCAGCCCCCTTTTATGAGGTTAGGGAGGGGGGCTCAGCCCCCCTTGTTAAAAATTGCATGTCAGTTTGGGGGGGGGGGGGACGGCTGACCTCCCAATATTTTTGCAAATTGCATTTTCATAACCTGGAAAGTTCTTTGCGACTGTAGTATTGAAATGATGTTGGTAATCTGTACTTGATTACTATGATCATACTATTAGGTCATGTATGTGGGTCCAACATGAAATATCTTTGGTATACCGAAATCTTTCATTTGAAGTTAAGTCCATTCTTCAAAAATAGCTATTGGAACTTTTCATGTTTATCATCATGGGCGGGGACAAACATTTCATGCAATCCAACGGAGTACTTCTGTGCTAAATCTGCATGTGCATATAAACATATAGTGTTCTAGCTGACCATGGTTTTAAATTCAAGGAATAATGTATGTCAACCAAGGAACAATTCAAGGAATAATGTATGTCGTTTTTGTTACATAGTGTTTTCTTGTGCCCGTAGTAGTGCCTACAATTTCCTGAAGCTGTTTAACATTTCCTGTGAGCAGTGCTCGCTCGCCTATTTTTTCCACCCCTGTTCATCATGTTGCCCCTCCACGGCTTGTCACCTCCTCCCCTCCCCCTTCTTTAAGAGCCTTCATTATCATTTCAGTTCCACACCACTGGCTATAAGCCAAACTTGAAAGTGGAGTTCATTATCTATTCTGCTGCTGACGACTAAGAAACAAGTGGCCGCTTGTCACTCATTTTTCGCTTGTTTTATTGTCGAAAGAATAACAAAGTTGGGAAACTCGGTGGGCAGTGCCACAGGGCAGTGCCCCCGTGATGACCCCATGCTCATGGAAAAAGCCCGCGGAATTTTAAATTAGTCAGGGGGGTGAGGGGAAATTTTGAAATTTGCAAACCACCATTCCACGCATGCATGGGTGAAAATAATGGCGCACGTTTTGTTGTAAAATCAAGCATATTTTTGTAAATTTTTTCCACTTATTTTCTACGATATCGTATGGAACATTTCACATAGACCATCAACAATGTCTGACAAAGGAGAGCCAGTTTATGCAGCCGCGAGAAACCCGAAATTTGAACAGTTGAGGAGTGACCATGAAACCTTTCTTCGTACTTTCGAAAGTGAGTCCTAGTAAATATTGCATTTTTACGTTGTTTTTCTCACACAATGTTTGCTTGATTTTGGTTAATGGCATTGATGTGTTGATGCTACATTAATCGTACTTTTTCTGTTTTGTTTCACAGAACCTACACAGATATATCGCTTTTTAAGGACACGGAATATAATAACAGTGAGTATATTTATAGTATATATAAACAATCTAATTGTAAAAGACTGTTAATTAATATATTTGAATAAAATTCATACTCAAAACCAATATAGAATTAGTTATATTGTGTGAGACGTCCAAAATCTTAATATTTACCCATACACCTTTGTATATGGCGTCACCTTTATGTATATATGAATTTGCGGTTATGCACCAGTCAAAGTAAACCCTAACCCCCCTCACCCCGGGATATAGGTGGGGATTGGTTTTGAATACCGTACCAAAACAGACAAATGCCCCACAATATGGGACAAAATTTTCTTGCAAAAGACAAAAAATGCCCCCCCCCCCCGGGGGGAAATTGTAAGTCGTGTGAGTGAATTTATCTCCTGCATAATATCTCCTCGACAATCTCCGGGCCACCGCATAAACCGTCCACATTTTAAAATATTAATACTTTGTTCCAAAACTCAAAAGAACGATAAAAACATATTAATATAAACAAACAAATGTCGAGCTTTCCACAACAATAGATTCCATGGATGGATGGACAATTTAACTGGTATTAACATATAGATTGAAAAGAAATTAAATTAATAATATATTTATAAAATTCCTCTTGATTTCATTTCCTCATGAGCATGCCATTTTGTCCTTTGTCACATGGTATAAAATGGTAGAACCTGGGGATTCCATTGGACAAAACGGTACAAAATAGTACAAAATGGCCGCAGACAATCCCCATTATCTCCCGGCATAATTCAGCAGACTGACAAAACCAACAAATTCCCGACATGGTTGGGACAGAATTCGATGACAAAAAGCCACTAAATCCCCACCAAGTACCCTCTTTGCCCGGGGTAGGGGGGGGCGTTGGGGTTTGCTTTGACTGGTGCATTAGAGCTCGACAGGGACGTCGGAAGTGGGGGGGACGGGCCCGGATCCCTCCACTTTTTTAGTTGGGAGGCCTAAATGTCTTTGCCTCCCCCCCACTTTTTAACAATGGTCAATAATAAACCACAAAGTCAATTGACAGTATTTCAGTTACGCGTGTAGACAAAACAATTTGAGATATTTTATGACATTTTGTTACTTTTAGAACTCTGTAAATTTCCTTCTAAGGCCAAATAAAAATAATAGTTGGTTTCAGGTTTCCGATCGACCTGTCAAAAATATGACCGACCTGTCAAAAATATGACCGACCATAAACATAAAAATTATTTTGTTTGCTTATAATTTAATCATTACCTAGTCATGTTAATCATAGTTTTACACAAGGAACAGTTGAATAAAATATTAAAAACGTACACTATTCTGACATTGCAGCTACCGCTGAAAAAAGGTGAAAACACCTTGATGTGTTTGTTCCTTGCGAAACACATGTAGCTTGTGGGGGATCCCGTTATTGCATACTCAAGATAAAATATTCTTTTAAATAAAATGTTCTTCCAACCAACCTACCCATATAAAACATGGCTGTGAAACCTGAAACCAACTATTATTTTTATTTGGCCTAAAGTGCAGGAAATGGCATTTCAGAGACTCTAGTTTTAAAAATTTTCCCGGACCCCCTTGTAACTCACCCGCTAAGCGTGCCCCCTACTTTTAGAGTCGCTCCTATGCCACTGCTGGCCTCTGTAGCTCAGTTGGTTAGAGCGCTGCACTGGAATCGCAGGTTTGATTCCTGCAGAGGGCCAGCGGTTGAATTTTTCCCAAGTATTCCTTGTTAGGTCTAATAAATGTATAAAATTCACGTACACAATTTCCATCGAAGAATGACCCATTTTTTTATAAATCTTCAAAAAAAGAAAATCGGACCCACCCTGCCTACATTTTTGCGACAAGTATTACGAAAACCCAGGTATTTCTTATGTTGCTGTCACAATTTAGATGAAGTTTGCACTAAATGTCACCATTTTATTTTCAATATGTTGCCATTTCAACAAAATGTTGTCTGCCAGAATTTATCCTAATAGGACCTCGATATATATTCATATCTAGTACTAACATTTTTATTTTATCTTGTACTATATCAGTCTAATACTTGGTCCTTATTTGTAGCCCATATTCTTACACAGAAATTTATCGTACATGAGACATCGGAGAACTAGGAATAATAAAGAACAAAGGTATACAGTAGTGGGATGTTGCAGTATATCTATACCGATTATCATTTTTTTATAAATACAGATTATTCGATATTTAAATTTTTGATATATCAGAATATCGATATTTTTTGGTATTATTGGTATCAAGAAAGACAAAGATGACCAATTTGTCAAGCCTGCAGGAAAAACTGTAAAGTAAAACGTGTTTGTTAACTTTGGTGTTGCACAGGGAAAAATAGGCAAGCATACAAGCACTGCTTGCAGGAAATGTTAAACATCTGCAGGAAATTCATTTTAATGATGATTTGCTATTGAAAATTTGAAGGAAACCTTAACACCCATGTCCCACTATGGTAGGACTGTTCGGTATACCGATATACCGAAAATATCAGTATTAAATCAATATTGGTATATCGATACCGGATATTCAGCCATACCGATATACCACTAAAATTTCTGATATACCGGAATTTTTCGGTATACCGTGTTACATTTACCAACTATATGGCAAAACCATAACCTTTATTTTACTACTGAATGGCTTCAAAATTATCGTTTTCCCTTTTAGAATTACTAAAAATTACCTTCAAATTTCCATTAATTAATGAATTTTCCTTTATAATTATCAAAGGAAAACTGGTATACCGATAATATCGGTGTAATTTTTTCGGTATACCGATACCGGAAATTGCTCATACCGAACATTCCTACACTATGGGTGCAACAACACATGATTGACAGACATTCTTTGAATTTAAAACTACATATTGATACATCACTTCTCTCTGGTCAGCTAGAACACTACATGTTTATGCACAGATTTAGCACAAAAATATCTCTTCAGGAAATGTTTGTTTCCAGGTTGTGCTCCCAGGAAGAAAATTTTTTTTTGGTTGTGCTAATGTTTCCTTAATCTGTACTTTTTACTTTAGGGCAAAATTCAAAGTTGATGATTTGCTAGCAAAATGTGAAAGAGAGAATGCGGAGAATTCACCACATGGGTACCTGAAGTTTAATTAAATTACTGCATTGAGATTTATTTCCGGTCATATGCATCCAGTATGTTAGAGATACAGTAAATGCCAAGCGTCTCATCCCGAAGTTCAAGTATATCTACAGTTCATCCTGATTATCTAATTGATATTCATAGAATTTTGTGCTACATAAAGCTTGTGGTACATTGATGAAAACTGACTCAATCACAAAATAAGCAACAACATTTTTGGTCACCAATCAGCTGCACTTTTGAAGTCTGAATTTAGTTTTGAACTGTTTGGCATCATCTAATTTCTGTACCCTATGTTTTTTTTTCACATTACAGTTCAGAAAAGAATGGATACCTTAATTTGACATTCAAAGGTTTCTTTCGTGGATCAGGTACTAATAATGTGTTTTTGTACATGTAGGGTTTGTGATTGAGCAAGGTGCCCTTAACCTTGATATTTACCCACACAGTATCTTCAGGGTTTTTTTCAGGGATTTTTTAGGACCGTAAAACAGGCCCTAAAAATTAGTTTAAGAATTTCTAGGAATTTTAAATTTTGTTCTTACTAATACTACTAAAAAAGGCCCTTACTTGGCCTTTAAAAAAAGGCACAAACAAAGGCATTTCAAATTTTATTGCAGAATATATTTATTTCTTTAGTCTATCCCATATTTTGTTTTTAGTTCAAGGTGAGGTCCCCACACCCTCCAGCGAGAATCTTGCTGATCAAAATCTTGTTCCTGCTGAAGTTTTTATTGTTAAAATTTGCCACAAAAGAAGAAAGGTGCAGTATAGTGGGGATTATTTACATGTTCAATAGCGGATTGACTAAATTACAACGTGTTTACAAGCATTAAAATTATTTACAAAATTACTTACATCAATAGACCTTACCGATTATTCTCTTTACCCAATGGCCTCGTTTCCATGTTAACTTATTTTAGCTTGTCAGGGGCAGATAGAGATTATATTCCCATGTTTTCCTGGACGAATTTGTTTCTTGCTGTTCTTAGGCTCAATAACAAAGTAATTTTCAACCCCATTAAGCACAAAAAATGATGTAAGTATTTGACATGAAAACGAGGCCATTGGGTAAAAGAATAATCGGCAAGGTACTGTGTTACTATTGCCACTACCTACACACTGGCACAAATTTTTTAAGATTATTTTACTCTGTGTAACGCCAAACGATTTTACTTCTCAAGAGGAGAGTACTGGCACTTAATGATAGGATATGATATGGTAGGATAGGATAAAACTTTATTTGAATACGCTGGCCACTTCAACCGAAGCTGCTTTCCAAGTGGGCATAGATAATTTATAAAATATTACAAAATATATAAAATACAAAGAGAAGTACGAAAATACAAAATATATATTACAAAACAAATGGTACAGTAGTCAAATAACTAATTCGTCAGACTAACAGAGGAAATATTCCTATTGAAAGAATATAAAGATTCGCTGTTTCTTAAGTATTTGTTCAGGAATGCTAAATTGCAGATTTTAACCCCACTATATCGGAAACATTAAATTCATTTCCTCACTTTTACTTCAGGATAACAGTCCACCGATTATTCAAGAACGTGTGGGTCGTTGCCTTGTGGCTCACAATCCTTGCACTGATCAGGAGCCGTTGCTCGAGTCTTGCAGTGTTTCCATACCTCGCTCATTTTTCAATCCTAAAACCAACAGAAATGTTCGTTCGTTCATCCTGACGCTGGAAGTCAGTATTCCTCTTGTTGAAACCACGAAGAAAAAGAAACGAAAGAAAAGTGATGCAAAGCCTGAGCAAAAACGTAAGTTTAGGAGACAACCGAAACTGAATCGCGGTCCCCAAACGAAGTTTGGTATCGCTTTATGTTCGCTGCGTGAGTTTGTTAGATTGTTACTTTGTT